CCTTACACCAGTTAGAATGGCCAAAATTAGCAAGACAGGAAACAACATGTGTTGGAGGGGATGTGGAGAGAAGGGAACCATCTTCCACTGTTGGTGGGAATGCGAGTTGGTGCAGCCACTTTGGAGAACAGTGTGGAGATTCCTCAAGAAATTAAAAATAGAGCTTCCCTATGACCCTGCAATTGCACTACTGGGCATTTACCCCAAAGATACAGATGTAGTGAAAAGAAGGGCCATCTGTACCCCAATGTTTATAGCAGCAATGGCCACGGTTGCCAACCTGTGGAAAGAACCAAGATGCCCTTCAATGGACGAATGGATAAGGAAGATGTGGTCCATATACACTATGGAGTATTATGCCTCCATCAGAAAGGATAAATACCCAACTTTTGTATCAACATGGACGGGACTGGAAGAGATGATGCTGAGTGAAATAAGTCAAGCAGAGAGAGTCAATTATCATATGGTTTCACTTATTTGTGGAGCATAACAAATAGCATGGAGGACATGGAGAGTTAGGAGAAGGCATTTGGGGGAAATTGGAAGGGGAGGTGAACAATGAGAGACTAGGGACTCTGAAAAACAATCTGAAGGGTTTGAAGAGGTGGGGGGTGGGAGGTTGGGGGAACCAGGTGGTGGGTATTAGAGAGGGCACGGATTGCATGGAGCAGGGGGTGTGGTACAAAAACAATGAATACTGTTATGCTGAAAATAAATTTTAAAAAATGATTATTAAAAAAAAAAAAGAAACAACTTAAGCAAAAAAATACCTGCTAGTGATGACCTATCCGATTCAATCACCTTACACAGAAACTTTGGAGAAAAGTCAGAAATAAACACCTGCATTTACTAGTAGATCTATCTTAGCCCAAGTGAAAAAGAAAAAGAAAGAAAGAAAGAAAGAGGAAGGAAGGAAAGAAGAAAGGAAGGAAGGAGAAAGAAAGAGAAGTGTGTATTGCATTCAAAAGATAAAGCTATGATTACATATAGCTTTTTTTAAAAAAAATTTTTTTAATTTTTTAAAAAAATTTTTTTAAAATTTCTTTTAAAATTTCTGTCTGAGCTTCTGATGTGTCTATCTACAAATGTACTTAAAATTTTTTTTTAAATTGTGTAATTTTTTTAAAATTACGCAATTTTTTTATTTTTGGAGCCAACAATTAATGGTGAACATAGTAGTCAGTCCAGATTGGTGGTTTGAACTCTGCATCACAAGTTGAACATCAAGTATGTGGTTTTGCTGATAGGAGGTTAAAAATAGCAGTTTAAATTAGTGAGAGACAAGTATTTTGTTCAATAAGTTGACCTTAAGTTCTTTAAATGGCATGGCATGGCTTTAAAATTAACCAAAAATGATGTTCTTGTCTTATCTAACTGCTTTTCACTTCTCTCCCACCTGATCTCCCTTCCTTGCCCACATTCAGGTGAAAAGGGGGACCAGAGTATTAAAATCATTTAAAATGCAATGATTTATTTTTATGCTGGAAAGAGAATGTGTTAAGATAAAAGCTTATCAGCAAATTCTTGAGTTTCAGAATTTGGAAATATTTGCATGATGTCATTAATATCTTTCAAGCCTTGGATTTTCAAACATTTGCAAAAAGATATAGACTTTCTCCAGAGGAAAAAAATCACTGGCGCATGTACATAATCCCATCCAACACACTCTTACCTATATCCATATACTCATGCACAGACACTATTATACCCATTTGCATATATTTGGACTTGTACACATTAAAAAAAAAACTCTTGTAAATTCATATGTTCTTATAAAGAAACATATATTCCTGATTTCTGTTTAGAGAATCAGAATAAAAATTTCACTTAGCCAGAGGTCAGCAAAATATGACCTATGGGAAAAATCCAGCCCAGTTGCTGATTTTATAAATGAAGGTTTATTGAAATACAGCCTAAATCAGTTATCTTGTGTATTATTTATGGCTGCTTTCATGCTATAACTACAGAGTAGATACAGGACTGTATGACCCACAAAGCCTTAAGTACTTGCAATCTAGCCATTTAAAGAAAAAGCCAAATCTAGAACAAAAATCTTTATGTGTGGGGAAACAGAAAATTCTATTTGTAACCTATTCTTAAGAATGCTCTGATGGCATGGTGAACCGAATAAGACCCTTTTCTACCAAAAGATCCTACAATGATGGATAATATGGAAGAAAATTATAAAATATGGCTTTACCTTTGCACATACCAGAGAACTGCAAATGAGATTTCTACACAGATTCACCTGAGTCTGCCCCAAGTGACAGGAGACAGAGCTCCAGCCACTGATCAAGAAACCATGAGGGAGGTTAATACACACTCAAGGTCAAGGTTCTCTAGGAGGGGTAAGAGAATAAAAAGTAAATTGTCACTTATGGAAAACAAACAAACAAACAAACTTCTGGCCTATGCTACCAAGAAGTCAGAGTCTGAACTTACACTGTCAAACCAGAATATTAATATGATCAAATCCACCTGCTCTACAGAGCCACCTGCTCTACAATCAAGCCTTCATAGTGCAGCCACTGTGGAAAACATTATGAAAGTTCCATACAAAGTTAAAGACAATACTACCTTGTGATCCAGTAATCACAGTATTGGGTGTTTACTCCCAAAATACAAAAAAACTAATTCAAAGGATACATGCACTCCTATGTTTATTGTAGCATTATTTACAATAGCCAAGGAATGGAAGCAGCCAGTGTCCACAGATAGATGAATGGATAAAGAAGGTATATGTGTGTGCATGTGTGTGTGTACATATATGTATGTGTGTGTGTGCATACTTATTACACACAATGGATTAATATTAAGCTATAAAAACAATGAAATCTTGCCATGTGCATAGCATGGATGGAGCTAGAGAATATAATGTTAAGTGAAAGAAACTGGAGAAAGATAAATACCATATAACTCCCAAAGGGTAGAATTTATTATTTTAATTTTTTTAAATATTTTATTTATTTATTTGTGTGTGTGTGTGTGAGAGAGAGAGAGAGAGAGAGAACATGCACAAGCAGTGGGGGCAGCAGGCTGAAGAAGAAGACTCCCTGCTGAGCAAGGAGCCTGATGCAGGACTCAACCCCAGGACCTAGGCAACATGAGCTGAGCTGAAGGCAGATGCTTAACTGACTGAGCCACCCAGATGTACCCCAGGAAGAATTTAAAAAAACAAAATGAACAAGGAAAAAAATAGGGAGAGAGAAACCAAGAAACAAACTATACAGAGCCAACTGATGGTGACCAGAGTGGAGGTCCGGTGGAGGGGAAGGAGGGAATAGGCAATGGGACTAAAGAGTACACTTATCACTATGAGCACTGAGGGATGTATAGAATTGCTGAACTGCTCATTCTATTGTACACCTGAAACTAATCTAACACTCTGTGCTAACTATGCTGGAATTAAAATAAAAACAACAACAAAAAAAGGGGAGGCATAGACAATGAATCTAAGAACATTGGGGGGGATTAACAGAAAATACTCTACAATGACTTAGCTTACAAACTAAAAAACAAAATATATTAAAAAGTTAAACACCAGGGAAACTGGGAAGGAGATGGGTAATATAACCACTAGAATTTATGCAAGTTAAAATACAGTTCTTGTAAGTTAAAAATTCAGCAGAATACTTAGAAAAAAGGGCAAAACTGAAGAGTATCTTTATAAAGTCTAAAAAGTAAGTGAGGAGCCCTGGATCAACTGACCTCAACACGTCCCATAGGGATTCCCCCATATTCATTTACATTTATTCCACATACAGCATTGTATATATATTGATTTTATCCATCTATATATTGCACTGCAGTTACCACTGTATAATTAGCTCGTGGTTCCATCACATCTAATAACTATCATTTCTAAAAGAATACAAGAAATAGGAAAAAATGGGATAAGAGACACCAAAATAGAATGGAAAATTATAGTATAAATTAAACAAAATGAAATAAGAAATTTTCAAGAGCCAGCATTAAAATAATAATTTTATAGAGCTTTTGAAAAATATCAATCTTCACACTAAGGAAGCTTAAGTTATTCTCTCCATAAATATATTGAAAGGGAGATACATGGATCTCTCTCTCCATACACACATGCATGTACACACACACATAAGTAAGAACTCCTTATATGAGTACATTATAGTAAAAAAAGGAGAAAATTAAAGCAAAGCATATTAAAGCAGAGAGAAAGGTAGTAATTCTAAACATAACGTGACTAAAATTTAGATCAGTGTCAGGATTCACGTTTACGATACAGACCAGACCCTAGAGAACATTTCCCATGTGCTCAGTGATAACAATTTAGGTGTTCAGATGCCACTAAGGTATCATTCAAGATAAGGATAAAAAGAGCATATCCAGACAAAAGAACACACAAGAATGTTTACTACTAGTAGACTATGGTAGAACATATTACACATGGTTTATGCCAAGACGAAACTAAGCCTAGAATGGAAACAAGAGATTTAAGAAGAAATGGTGACAGAATAAGTAATACGTTTTTAAAAGACATTATTTAATTGAAAATTATTGTGCTATTTCTAAATAGGCAGTAGCTTCAAAATAATATGTTTCATCAAAAAATAGAAAATGAAAATTCCAGAGAGGAATGGATAAAATAGGAACAAAGGTAATTGTTGAAGAGGAATCTGAGCCCATGTATCAACATGTGTCCATCTTTAGACCCACTTAGAAATGAGAGTCATTAAATGTACTTGCCACAGCCAAGAAACCTGGGGATGTAGGAGTCTCCTGGAGATGGGAAGCACAGTGGGTAACAGAATTAAATCTATTTATAGGAGAATAAGAGATGGTGGGCACTTCTTTACTGATGAAGCAGAGGAGGAAGTGGCCAGGCAGGTCATCTGGAAAGGCTCCTGGATCCAGCTCTGGAAAAAGCAAGACAGGCAGAAAGGTTGGGGGGGGGAGCAGGGATTGAGAGTGGTTTCTAGGAATTCCATATATGGAACAAGTGGAATAGGTGACACCCCTCCACTCACACTCTTGGTCCCATATCCTGTATCTGTCCATTTTAGATTCCACTGAGGACAGAGATTAACCAGAGGACAGACTTTACTCAGGTCAGTGGAGAACTACATACCTCAACAGAAATTTATCACAATTCCTGAAAGAATTAGAGATCCTATGGTAGATGCTGGTTCCAGAATCTAAATTATCTTCTTATTGCTACACGCATGATGCAAATCAGCAGCAGGGTAAGGAATGACCAAGAAGAACTAATAGCATGAAAGGAATGAAAACAATTAGAATTGCAGGCTTCAAGAGAAAATTTAAACATTTCAAATTCATATTTTCAGAATGACTCAAGAATGTATTTGTTATATAATGCCAGAATATTATACAAAATGAACTACCAAAAAAGTAGGATGGGGTGGGGAAGAGAGTTTAAAAATTGTATTCTCATTATGTAAATTAAAAATTTTTAAATATTAAAAAATGAAAAAAAAAGGAAATTTTATTCAGAGTTAAGAAGACTAAGAGAGATTGATTTTGAGAGAAAAACAGCCTAATGCAGCATTCCAATAGTGTCCATATATGAATGGCATGAATTTGAGCTGTGGAGAAAAGGGGAAAAGAAGGAGAAGGACAAATACCTACAGCAGGCAGAGAAGTCATTTAGAAAAGCTGAGGGGGAAAAACACCCCACAAATTTCACAATAAAAGGATTGCCTAGTGCCCTTAAGAATGGGTGGAAAATATAACTAATTAAACCTTCCCCTTGATACATAACTTTGAAATGCAGAGCATTAAGTTTCTAGAGAGAAAGTTCAGGAGAACTGCATCAAATTTTCATCAGAGTGGAGTCTACAAATAAAATTGTGGTGTATCTTTAACATTTTGATTGTAAAATATGATTCAAACCTAAAATTCTCTGTTTCCTAAGACCACCAGACAGAAATTTTACCTCCTATGTTGTCTCTCCTCCTGTGTCTTCCACGCTCTGTGCATCTTCCTGCCTGCCTGCCTCTTACTCTATCTTCGTTTCTTTTTAAGGATGTTGTCTGAACATATTATTATTATTAATATAATAAGAACATAAGTTGTGTGACATCTAAAGGAAAAATAGTCTTGAAGAAAAGGAACCAATTAGATACCAAAAAGTATGTATGGAATAAATAGTCCACGCTAAAGAAAGTTCTCTTTACTTCAGTCAATAAGGACGGCATAAAGGTGAAAAGATGAAATAGAAAATCTGGAAAAATACAAACCCGATTTGAGTATAAACTAACTGTAACAAATCACACCTTTGAGACCTTGATGATGAATAAGAAGAGAGAATCCATTTCAGGAACATGTGAGTTCCATTCTTGAGTAGCTCAGAGCTAGGACACTGACCCACAGATCGGGATACTGCTGCCTATGCAAGTACCATGGTTCTACGTCATAGAATTTTAACATTTATTGTTTTTCATCTTGGCTGGAAATGTCAATATTCAGCAGTGTAAATTTTAGTCAACCTAGGCAACATGAAAATAAAGATTATAACTGCCAGAAAAGGATTGATGGGAAGGAGAAAGAATTGTAGATGGAGGAATTTTCTTCATCTGAGAGGCAAATCAAGAGGCAGCATGTTAACCAGTTAGGAAAAAAAAAAAAAAAGAAGAAGTTGCAACATATCTTTTAAATGTCCCAGAAGTAAAAAATTTAAAATGATACGAGTAGTGACAGGATGGTGAATTTGATCTGCACTCTTAGCCATCCTAGCTGTAAGTCATGAGAAAATTTCTAAAGATAAATAAAGAACACAGACCATGTTACTCAGTGATAAGGAGGTAACAGATTTGTGAGAAGTAGTATGGGACTGGGCTAGGACTCCGGGTTTCAATTATGATCCCTCATTTTTTTTGTGCCATGTATATACCCATTGTTGTATATTAAATATGAAAAAACAAATCAATGTACTATATACATATCTGTTTTTGAAATTTTAATTATGAAATTAATAATGTTAGCAGACGCCCCGCTGAGCACAGATTTTGATGCGGGGCTCAATCCCAGGACCCTGAGATCATGACTTGAGCCAAAACCAGAGGCATAACCCACTGAGCCACCCGGAAGCCCCAAAAGTGAGTTTTCTTATGACACCAGATGGGCTAAATAGAAAGCAAACCATTTTTCAAAGAAATAAACTTTGAAAGAAAGCAAATAAAAGAAAGTAAGCAAAAGAAAGAAAGAAAACAAACATTTTTTAGGTTTTAAAAAATTTATTTTTTAAAAGTTAACATGTGCATAAAAGGAAATTGAAAACCACAAGAAGCAAAGAACAAAGTCACCCATAATCACAAGCAGTTTACAGTTTGACTTCTAGGTCCCATGTGTGTATCTACAAAAGTAAGCATTTTAATGTAATTAAGATCATAGGCTGAGCAGAGAGCCTGAGGCGGGGCTCAATCCCAGGACACTGGGATCATGACCTGGGCCGAAGGCAGAGGCTTAACCCACTGAGCCACCCAGGTGCCCCTGTATCATGCTTTTTTATACACCATGAGTATTTACCATTTCAAAGCCCCCAAACTATGAGTATTTTGATAACCAAGAATACACCATGCCAACTCCATCTGAAAGAAAAAAATGTTATCCTGCCTTTCTTGGTGACAAAAAATTCAGAAAAGACAAAAATGGCAACAGGCCTCTAGATAAAGATACTGGCAGGGTTACAATTAAAACATTGCATTCCCTTAATGTGCAACTAAAACAGACCTAAGTAAGAGTACACAATATATAATGCTTCTAAAATAATTCATTATCCAGTCTAGACTATTATGTTTCCATTGAAAGAGATGCACACACAATAACGGTTATTACAATAGAAGAATGAACACATCCACATACATCTCTCCCTCTATACTTCCTTCTGCCCCTCTGCTACCAACCTAGTGAGTCCTGACATTTCAAAGACAGCATAACAATTCTATGTCCAAGATGTTTCTTTCCTATCAACAATAACAAAAAGAAACTTATAAATGTGTTGATTTACTAGCTGTACATTTTATCACACATTGTCACCTCAGGACATCCAAAAAGTTTAGGTGTTACAAAATAATGAAACTTGCCCACAACAAACACAGGCACTTCATAACAATGCACACACAGATCTATGGTTATAACCTAAAATGGTCTTCTCTATGTGGAGAGAACTAGGAAAAAGCCCTTCCTTTCACCCCTCCTCTGCTCCCTCCACCATTTTAATGACCAAGTCTAGGACTACACCTGGCTCTAAGAGGTGATTGACAGACAATCCCAGAACAGTCCTTCCTAAAAACTAACAAAAGGGCATTCATAAAAGGAGTATTTACTACCTCTACTTTTAATATACTTTGGGTATTATGACTTGTTTATCCTTTGACATACAGCAATGTTAACTAAAATGCACATACAGAACTTTGAAGACTCATGGGCACAGAACCATTTTCTCCTCGCTTCCTTCCCTGCCCCCATCCCCATCCCCTAGTGAACGCAGTGAAAAGTCAGTATACTCTCCAAGACATCAAGTTTAACAACTCCATTCCCAAAATACAAACATTCCCATAAATTAACAACAAAAGGTGTTGCAACTCCACTTCTAACATGTTCACTTTGAAACATCCAGAAGACTAGATGTCTCAAGTAAGGATTTATTTAAAATTTGCTCACTACATACATAGTAGCACTGAAAGAATATTCTGGCTTAGCACCCTTCCTCTTCTCATCTCTATCAACCTAGTGGGAAGTATAAGCATCTGTAATGCTTAGAGGGGATTTTAACAATTTCACTTCCTCTAGTTGTTTTCAGAATAGTCTCTCCTATGAGCTTAAACACAAAGCATACACAACGCATTTGTTTACTAACTACTTTTGTCATACACTGGCAACCTCTTTAACATCTAGAAAGACTAGATGTTGTAAACTAGGATTCATTTGTCCTTTATATACACTACATACACAGCTAAGTAAAACAAAATGCAGACATACGGGACAATGGTTAATCCTCCCTAACTATAAACATACTGGTATAAATTCCTTTGCTCTTTCTTCTCCTTCCTCCCTGAACCAGCACAAATATAGATTGTGTACTGCTCTGAGAGGTGGTTTGATCACTTGGATCATTCCATTTTTAAGACAACAATATTTCATATGAATTTTAACAAAAGGATTATCTACAAAATGTGTTATTTTTTTTTTTAAAGATTTTATTTATTTGACAGAGAGAGAGAGAGAGATCACAAGTAAGCAGAGAGGCAGGCAGAGAGAGAGGGGGAAGCAGGTTCCCTGCTGAGCAAAGAGCCCGATGTGGGATCGATCCCAGGACCCTGAGATCACGACCTGAGCCGAAGGCAGAGGCTTAACCCACTGAGCCACCCAGGCGCCCCCAAAATGTGTTATTTTACTACCTCTACTTTTAACATACTTTGTGCACTTCTAAAATGTTTCAAATAAGGACTTAAGTTTGTCCACTCTATACACAGTAGTGTTGAATCAACTACACACATGGAACAATGGGTTATATCTGAAAGTGTCTTCTGCATGGGAGCATTCCAGTCTAGAACCCTTCATTTCTCACAACTCCTTTCTACTGGCAACCCAGCGGGTGAGTGCAAATAGGCACGTGTCACTTAGATGTGACTACAATGTCATCTCTTCAAGTCCTTTTCAGAAGGCAGCCTTTCGATGAATTTTAACACAAAGTGTGCAAAATGTGTTGGTTTACTAACTCTACTTTTGTCATATGTTGGCTACCTCTTTCACATCTAGAGACTAGATATTATAAAATTAGGACCTATTTGTCTAGTATATATAGAAATTTATTTTTATTTCTATATATTTCTGTATATTCTGTATATTTCTGTGTAAGAAATATACAATCAAGTTAAATGCACATGACATATAGGTCGATGGATAAGCTGAAATTTCCTAGTACACACTAGCCAAGCATCTTTTGCAATTTCTTCCCTCCCACTTCCCTCAAACCAAGGAACAAGTATACTGTTCAGAGAGGTGGTTTAGAAATTCCACTTCCAAAGATAATATTT